CCTTCTCCGTCACCGGGCCCCGCCTCCTCTGCTGCCGACCACGGGACCCGCCTCCTCCTCTGCTGCCGACCACGGGCCCCACCTCCTCCTCTGCTGCCGACCACGGGCCCCGCCTCCTCCTCCACTGCCGGGTCCAGCCTGCTCCACCGTCGCTGCTGGCTCTCATTAACTCCGCAGCGGCTGTGAGAAGAATGCGCTGCTGCACAGATCGCTGTCATGATCTGAACAGCAGCACATTCTTCTTCACAGCCGCCAGTGAAAGCCACCAGCATAAGATGCCATTGCGACCCAGGCGGGCCGCACTGCATCTGACCGGGCCCCATAACGGCCGCCATTGGCGGCCGATATATCGGTGCATCCCTAGTTTCAACACTTCATTCCAATAACACAGATGAGCCCCGCCATACAGCCATACGCCGCTATCATGTTTCACCACACAGGCTTAATCATAGATAACATGTTAGAGGCATGTGGCTGCATGGCAGGGCTGATTGGTGTTATTGGAATGGAGATCTATCAATAAAGATGCTGAATGGTGGTACCTGGGTTTGTGTGGTCATTTTTTTCGGTTGTTCACCAAATTGGAGCATGAGCGAGCTCATTTACCTGCACCCTAGTGTCTCTCATGTAGGTGGAACACTGAATGGCAATTGGAGTGGTGATATTTTTTCTTTTAAACTGTTTAAGAGATAACTGTGTTTGATTATTTCAGAAAGGACAGAGGAAGATTACAGACATACAAGAAGATACTGATGATGTAAGTAGTCAGTAGATAATGCGTGACATTGCTGTACAGTATGTATGTGTGTTCCAGTACATAAATTGTTTTCCATAAAACTGCCCTGCTTATCTAGAACAGAATCATAGACATAAATATTAAAGTAGTGATATTCCCCAAATATTAATATTTCACTGTATATTCACAAACCTTTCTCCTTTCCCTTAATTGTGCTAATAATCAATATTTGTAATATTTATGCTTCCCTTACCTCAGCAAATGCAGCCGTCAGCAATCTATGTCAGTTGTCAGCCTACAAATGTTTTGACATAAAAGCTCGTTTTCACCATAATAAGTAACAGGGCTGAGAGTGGAATTGAATTAAAAATAGACTAACATGTTCCATTCTGCATTTTGATCTTAGTATGACTCATATTATGACATATTTCACTATTTGAAGTGTAACTCTATCTAAACTATGTTTTCCGTTGTTTTGGATACAGAGTAGGAGCTTTACAATGTCTATCAGGCTTTTCTATCTCAATTTGTTGGAGAGATTTCCAGGACAGGAAGTAAAGTCCCACGAACAAAGACAGAAGGTGTTAAAATCTCTGCCAGGATTTTATTGCAGCTTGCAGGGAGAATTCTTTTTACTTCTTGTCCCAGGGATGTTTATCAGCAAGACAGGAAAATACTGGAAATATTGCTAAAATAACACAGCAAGAAAAACATATTTAAAAGAGTTTTATCTGGAATTTAAAGCAGAACTACAACCTCCCATTTTTTACAGCCAAGGAAGGCGCCATCTTTGCTTCCATTTGGTTTGCAGTTGCCATGTTGCTGCACATGTGATCAGCTATGACACCATCCATTTCAGAGCTTGAAAGTTTGGTTGAGAGCTGAAATAATATACACTGGCAACCTTGACAGCTGGCATGTCTTAAAAGTAACTTTAAAAGTAAAGTTTTGGGAGACATTAAATGGATGGATAAAGTTCTTCTTGAAGTTTGAGTCTTTGAAATATGCGTGTTTATATTAAATCATACCAATAGGGGATTCAGAACATGTAAATGCTGGAGGGCCCAGGAAGTCAAGGGAGCCAAGCAAGGCTGTCCCACTCCATAGTTTACTAGCCATGTGTTCATATTAAATAGGGATGCACAGATACTTTTCGAGTACCAGTGCAGATACTTGGCATTTTCATGAGAACTACCAGGGTTGCAGTGGTTGCAGCTGGGACCTGGCTCTGGCACTCCACCAGTGTCCTGAAATCATTAGTCTGTATTGTTTTAGAAAAACTGTCCTATGACAGTAAACAAAAATGTATCAGTACTCGTACTTGTAAGTACTCGGCAAGTACCAGTACTCGCAAAACTGGTATCGGTGCATCCCTTTATTTATATTTATAAAAACAAAATCATACATTAAAACAGAGATGTACAAATCCCAGGAGCTCCGTGTGCTCCTTAATAATGACAGCTGCCTCCTAATTTTTGAATTTTTCTCTAGTGTAGTCTTGGAGCTCAAAAGTATCTGTACATGTACTCATACTTGTACCGAGTACTGTACTTGGTATCTGTGCAACCCTAATATTAAACCCTTGGGCTGTATAAGGTAGCACATTTAAAGTTTATATTTGCTTTTACAGATAAAGCCTATAGACATGGTTTTCCATACCCAGATAAACATTATAGAATAAATGTTTAAATACTTTGTGAGCTTAGTGTTGTCGAATGTGGAAGAAGGAAAAGGGTGTTTTCCATCAATTCACATAGGGAAACACCTTCAAGTAGTAAGCTTTATGCACCAAAGGTTGTCCTAATAGTTAACTACACTGGTTAATTTTATTTTCAGTTTATTGTTTGTTAAACTGAGGCTTTATATATTTTCTTGCAATTTATAAACAACACATATATGTATAATGCATGGTGCACCCATAACACTAGTGGCACAGTAATTATGGGTTTTCTAATAAGAAAGTACAGCAGCAAGTTTCAGACAATTTTTCTCCATCTAAAAGTTTCTATGGAGAACAGAGCAGCAGGGGAGGGGCTGTCAGTTCTTTGATCCATTCAAGCACTGTAAACAGGCTTTTTTTTTTAGCAACGCAAAGGTCAGCATGATAAGCGTAAGAAAAAGAGAGAGTGCCTAAATCTCCATCCGCTTGCTTAAAATACAAATAGTAAATATATAAAATGTTTCAATATTTCCCTAAAATATATTTCACTTTTTTACTTTTTGTCCTGAATAATATCAAGAAATACAATGTTTCCAAAAACACCATTAATCTGTTTAAGGTACAACACGGCAGTGCAGCGCAAAGGCAGATACTGTCACTAGTGTATAGTTGTTAGTTAGTCTGCCTTTGTTTCCATTTTAGTTTAGTGTATCCATTTTTAGTTCTAATATATGAAATGTCTATACCATATCAATCTCTTCTTGTAATTTACAATACAAGAACATTTAAAATATAATATAAGGTGTATTGTAAATGATTCTGACCATTGGTAAAGTTTATATAGACAGTAAGCTTAATTAATAAGAAATAAAAACTTTTAAAGAGTTTTTTGGCTTTTTGATTTCTATCTCAGTCACAGTTCTTCTGTTTTATCCCCCCTTTCCTGGCACTTTGACCAATGCAGTAGAATAAGTAGTGTGAAGTTATGGATGAAAGAGCATACGGAAGAGCCAGGCAGACACCTCTGAGCTGTGAGATCGTCTCTCATCTGCTGTATGATCCGGCACCCTGCCGGGAGACCATGCACTATTTATGAATGCTCTCTCTGAATATTTACTACCTTGCAAACTATTCTAGCCTTGAAGTCCCTACATTTCATGTTGTTTGGGTTAGTTGTGAAATAGGTGCCAAGTGTCTCCTCAGCCTGCGTCAAAAAGTGGAAAATTATCCCATCTGGTACGGAGCAGAATTTGGGCCTGTTAATAATTCTTGACATGGTTTACATAATATACTAAATGGGTTGCAGCGTGTGAAAATTCACATCTGTTGTCTAAAACACAATAGATTCCTTTTGTAAACAAAATATGTTTCCAGGAAGTTCTTTTCTTAACAAAATGAAATCAAAATGCTGCAACTAAATTTAGGAGCTTAACTCTTGGCAAAGAGCTAAATATACCATAATATATCTTAGAGGTGCAGCGAAATTGAATTTTCAGACCGAAACCAAAGCTGAAAATAAAACATTTGTCAGGCCGAAACCCGAAACATATATTTTTTCTAACCTTTTTAAAATGATTTTTTAAATATTTTTTTATTTGTATTGATTTGTTTTTTTACTTTACGGTCGGGGGCTCCAGGGAAAAATCAGGGGTCTAAACAGAAATAGAAAAAGGTTGAGTCCTAAATCTCTTTTTCTGCAGCCCCTGTTATGAATGAACAGGAAGCCCCTATACTTAGGGCTCCTGTCCATTCATAAATTGTGGATATAGTATGAGTTACTATGTCCACAATCATGAATAAACAGGTAGTTATGTAGAGCACCTCCTGTTCATTCATAATTGGGGACACAGTAAACATACTATGTCCTTAATTATTTACAAACACTAATCGCTAAGTGCTTGTAAGCCACTCTCCATCCTGACTTGCTGTCACAAGAAGCTGAGCGAGCAGTGCGGAAGGAGAGCTCAGCCTGCTGTGATACGGCTGACAGCTGACTCCTCCCCCGCACCGCTGGCTCGGCCTCCTGTGACAGTTGACAGCGGTGTCCTCCCCACACCGCTCTCCGTCCTGATCTGCCTGTCACAAGAGCGGGGAGGAGAGCTCGGCAGTGCTGACAGCGCTCTACTCCCTGCCCCGCTCGGCCTCCTGAAAGTTTCTCTCCTCCCTGCTGGACACTGGTATTTGTCAGAGGGGACACAGAGAAACACCCAGCGAGGAGGAGAGAAACTTCAGGGACTCTTCATGGTTACAGGAGGACATATACTGTAAATCCTCCTGTGACCCAAAACTCAGCATATAGCGGGCTATTGCCCGCTATATGCTGAGAGTGCAGGGCCGCTCCACAGCTGGGATAGATCCCGACAATACTGTAGAGATCCACCCCAATAACTGATTAAAAGCTGGCTCTGCCTCTCTTGAAACAGAGCCAGCTGTGCCTGCCCCTTCCCCCGTCTGTTGCTCCCCTGTCTGTTCCTTTTTGGTCACAGGTCAGCTTAAATTATGGGGATGAGTGTTTTTCACTCACCCCATAATTCTCCTTTAAATTACATGTAATCATTTATTTTTACTAAATACGTAAGTGGATAAGATGTTTTTCTTTATCTACCTTGAGTTCCCCTTTAAAGTGGCCATAAACATTAATATGTAATTAGATATTAGAAGGTTATTTCATCCAACAAATTTTTATTTCTTATCTAATCTTCATATAAACATGTACAATTGTATTCAACAAGTGTGCACATAAGTACAAGTGTGTGTGTGTGTTTAAAGAATTTCTTCCTGGATTGCAACTCCCTCCTCAATGGGCTACCACTGCACAGGCTACCCCCTCTTCAATCTATCATGATTGCAGCTGCTAGACTCATCCACCTAACCAACCGCTCAGTGTCTGCAACCCCCCTCTGTCAATCCCTCCACTGGCTTCCGATCGCCCAAAGGATAAAATTCAAAATATTAACAGTCACTTACAAAGCCATCCACAACTCTGCCCTGACTATATCTCAAACTTTGTTTCAAAGTATCACCCAAACGATCCCCTCCGCTCTTCCAAAGAACTTCTGCTTTCCAGCTCTCTCGTCAACTCCTCCCATGATCACCTTCAGGACTTCTTTAGAGTCTCTCCCATCCTCTGGAACGCTTTACCCCAACCTGTCCATCTATATCCTACTCTGACTGCCTTTAGGAGATCCCTAAAGACTCATCTCTTCAGGGAAGCCTATCCCGCCTCAAACTAACCACTAAACCATCACGTTCTCAAACAATTCATCCCCACACAGCTACCTCCTCATGTATCACTTGACCCTCCCTTTTAGATTGTAAGCCCTCATGGGCAGGGCCCTCCTTACCATCTTGTCTTGAATTGTATTGAAATGTCTTCCTTGTATTGTAACGCACTGCGCAAACTGTTGGCGCTATATAAATCCGGTATAATAATAATAATACTAGAAAAATATTGTCCAAGATAGCACATTATGGTCACCAGCCTTTTCTCATAACAAAGTTTACCCAAGTGTGTCTGCTGGATGTCAACAAAGGGCAGAAAAGTCCTGTGATGTCACGACTTGCTCCGCCCCTTTGTTGATATTCGCGTCAGAAGTGTCATTTTGCGACGAGAGTTAATCAGGATCGGTCGTGACGGCGGGCGGTGGGTATTTTTTCTTTCGGCAAGTCGGCGGCCGTTGTCCATCGTGAACGACATAGATCTACACTGAGTGGCCAGATTATTATGACCACCCCATCAGTACTTTGTTGGGCCACCTTTTGCCTTCAATACTGCGGCGATTCTTCTTGGCATTGGCTCCACGAGATGTTGAAAGGTGATGCGAGGAATCTGACACCATGCCTGATGAATAGCACTGTCCAGTTCTGTGAGATTTGATGGTTGTGGAACCAGCTGTCTGATTGCTCTTTCAACTTTGTCCCACAAATGCTCAATTCGATTGAGATCTGGTGATTGTGGGGGCCACCTAAGCAAGGTAAAGTCTCCCTCATGTTCTTGAAACCACTCCTGCACAATGCGAGCACCGTGCCATGGCGCATTATCTTGTTGGAAAAAGCCATCTCCATTGGGATACGCCATCAACATGATAGGATGAACTTGATCAGCAACGATACTTTGGTATGTTGTGCTATTCAGACGTTGTTCCACACGAATTAAAGGGCCCAAATCATGCCAGGAAAACATGCCCCAAACCATAACACTGCCCCCACCAGCTTGAAGGGTTGTACTCATGCATGTCGGGTGCATGCTTTTATGCTGTTCCTGCCAAATTCTCACTCTTCCATCTGCATAATGCAACTGGAAACGTGATTCATCGGACCACATGACTTTGTTTTCAATTCTAGACTGTCCAATCCTTGTGTTCCTGTGCGAATTGGAGACGTTTTATCTTGTTAACTGCAGACAGCAAAGGTGTTCGAACAGGTCTTTGGCTTTCATATCCCATACGATGCAGTGTACGACGAACAGTGCGTTCAGAGATAATTTGAGATGATCCCTGATTAAGATCTGCAGTAATTTGATGCACTGTTGCCCTTCTGTTGTCTTGTACCAGTCTTGCCACTCTCCGTTCTGCCCTAACATTTTACCGATATCAGAACTTCTGGTATCAGGAAGCTGGGCGGCGAGTCGTTACATGCTGCCTGGCGGGGGTAATTACTCTCCCCCTGGCTTCCTGATTGGCGTGTGAAGCCGGCACCATGCTCCCTCGTCACTTGGTAATGACTCGCCGCCCAGCTTCCTGATTGGCCGGGAAGCTGGCCAATCAGGAAGCAGGGCGGCGAGTCATTACCCACCCTCCCTCTTTCTGATTGGCCAGAAAGCCGACTCCTTGCTACCGCATCACCTGGGAGCATGGAGTTTCCTGGCTAATCAGGAAGCCGGGTGTTGAGTCATTGCACGCCCGCCCAGCTTCCTTAATGGGCTTCCGGTATCGGTATATCAGTGCTCTTTTTTTTATCAGATAATTTTTATTACGTTTTTCTTTAAACAGACATTATAAAAGAAAAATATATAACAACAAATATAACACAAATAAGAAATAACCAAAACCAATAACAACACACAAAAAAAGGTAAAGAAACCTCAAATCCACCATATGCACATATCGATGAAACAGTGTCCAGGAACTAACCCATTCAGGTCAAATCACCTAGGCACTTATAAACGTTTACAACGCTGATGTGATTCAAAAAGAAACATAGAGACCTGCAACTGGATTAGTCAAATTATATCCTGAGCTCACATATATGACCCTCATATGTCTAAATAATATTAATCATAACATGGAAAAATTCACCAATCCCTCTATA